ATCATTTTGATGTATGGTGCAATTCTGATAATAGTGAATATCATTTAAGATTCAAAGATATAGAAAAGTATTATCCGTATATCTCTTTCATTTACGATTCCATCACTGAGACAAATTTAAAGAGTAAAATCATTGAATATCTAGATATCTACAAGAGGCACTCTGATGTTCTGGGTTTTGATGTGATAAGAGACTTTGTTTTTACACATTTCAGTATCTCAAACTTTGTTAAACAAAATGTATTTTTATGCGTATTATTGGCTCTTGCGATAAAAGAGAAATTATCTAAATCTAGAATGCCGCTTGAATCTAGGCTTCCTGAAAATTTCCCTTCTTTTGAGATGTTACAAACATTTAAGGATGTTAATGTAGATGATTTACCCCGTGGTGTTCTTAAAGTTCTGCCACGACTTTTCTGTGCCGTTGTACAACATATCTCCGTTAATTCTACTAAATTTGAATGGATGAAAGCTTTTGAAGTAGCTCCAATTATAGATCCAAGATATACTTTTCTCGACCATTTCAAGGTTCATGTTTATTCAACGGATTTGAAGGGACATGAGTCAAATTTCCTAGAGTCACTTAAAAATTTCGCAAAACCGTGCATGGATAAAATTGAAAATGATGAAATTTATGTCAAAGTCTGCAAGGTAAGATTATATAAAAAAAATGTAGTAATTTATATTCTCTTACAATCTTAAAAAAATCTTATTATTCTCTTAAAATAAAAATTAGGGTTTACTTTCCTTATGTCAAAGTATTGGTGCGGTTATATTTTTATGGCAAAATATTTTTCATCCTGACTCAAATATATACGAAGATCTTTGTGCATATTCGCTCGATAATCTACATCACTTTATATTAAACGATAATGCAGTTGGTTTAGAGAAGCATCTTAAAGAAGTACCTAATGATTTTAACTTAGATTATGCTCTCTTGTTTCGTGAGAGAGTCCTTAAATTGTTAAACAGCTTTAAGATGAATTGGAATAAGGATAACATCGAATCTATACTCAGATTACTTAATAATACCAGATTGGACTGGCAAGAAGATTCTGCATTACAAGCATTAAATGTTATTTCTGTTTCAAGTCAAATGGAATTATTACAAATTTTTCCGAATCAATTAGTAAACTTTCTCGAAGAAGACTTAAAAGATATCGATTCGAATGATAGAATACTCAGTAAAGTTTGTACTCAATGGTTAGAAACTACACTAGAACATATTAAGGATGCGCAAAATAAATCCAAGCATACCGAAAATTTTGCATGTACAATATTTCATTACCTTTCAATTATGTATACTATTATGAAAAAATATAATATTACATGCCTTCAACTTTTTAATGCTGCTGAAGAAGCTACTGAAAATCTTAAAGATGATGTGATTTTCGAGGCTGCTGTTGATATTGGTGATTTGAAACAAAAAGAACTTGTAATGATATTTAGTCGTGTTTTACATGAAAGACTTGGTCCAAATATTAAAACTGGTGATAATCAGTTACTAGGCAAAATAATGCAAATTTGCAGATCTAACGGACAAAAATTGCATATTCCAAACGCGTAAGTTGTTAAAAACTTGAAATTCCCTTCTTTTGTTTCTTTTTCTTTTTGCTTCTGTATATTAATATATAACTTGTGACTTTTTGAATAGGCTTTGCGAAGAAATCATTTTCCACATATTGACAAAATTGCAGGAAAACCTACCAAATATTGATATAAACAAAATGGAAATTATTGAAGATAATTTACAAAAAATATTGATCGCATCATCAAATTTTTGGGTTTATATCTTAAAAGCTACTGGATCAGTTGAAGGACTTCATAATCGACACAATTACGTGAAAACAGTTCGTCAAGCCATTAATCAATT